CAATGAATAGGCAACTAAATCAGTCAATGAGGGCTATTTGGACTCTGATTATTTGCTGTGTGAGCAACAAGGAGACAGGAAGGAGCCTGACTTAGCTGAGAACTGAAAGTGAAACTGCTTGTGTTTTGCTTGTATTTACGGCTAAATTGGAAAACCTGCTTTTGGTATTGTATTGTATATTATTATTATTATTTTGAATAATAATAATTTGTGTGTGCTTTCTGAATGTGTTTGCTACTGCAAACTCTGACCAGCCAGGTCAGCTTCAGAACTTATTGCAGCCTGATTGGCAGGTGGATTGGACTGCCGGAATACCCCCAATCAGCTGTTCCAGGCTGCAGGGATTGCCACAGACCATATCTGCCTTCATGTCTCACATTTTTGGCCTCTGGTGGGAGTGAGTGGGGCTACATTCGGTGTAGAAGACACACCCAAATTTTCACCCTCTTTTTGGGGGGAAAAGTTGCATCTTATACTCTGAAAAATACAGTAGTTTTTGAGCTCAGCACAGACTCAGAGCTTTAGTACAGAAGTTGAACTAAGACACACCCAGGCTCCTAGCTATCTCCAGCACATATTGTTTCAGTTTCCAAACAGCTCTAATTGGGTGACTTAGTTGCTTTGCCTATTCATTGGCTGACCTTGTTACCATGTCTCTGCCAGGTCATGAACTCTCATACACTGACACTCTGATTATCAAAACATCATCAGAATGGATGACTGCCATATGCTTTGCCAGCTGTTCTATAGTGTACTGGAGTCTGGAAAGAGATCTCAGAGTCAACCATGGAAGCACCAAAAATCCTGATGGAGAAACCTTATGCCACTGTGTTATCCACCCAGGGAAACTAGAAGCTGCAGCTGCTGACAAAACCCATTGGTGAGCTCTGTGCTCCACCAGCTTTGAAGACAGACATCACCACAAAGTGATAGGAAACCATGAGCAACATCACAGAATAACACCCACTGTTATTACAACAATGGGCATTCAGTGCCCCCATTGTGCTAGAGTCTACACTTCCAGACTGAGACTGTAGAGCCACCCCATGTCCACAGAAGAACTGCATAACAATGTATCTTCTTCAAACCAGTGGTGTGTTCGGGATGGTACAGCCCAGTACGGCCATACCCGTAGTAGCCAGGAGCAGCGGCCACCATACCGGTACGGTGGTTCGTTTGGCAACCCACCCACCCGCCAATTGTGCACACACGCATAGCGTGTGGCACCTGCGTGACCTCTGCCGAGCAGTTGGCTTTTGCAGGGCGGTGGCATGTGCATGCATGCGCAGCGTGTGTGCCCAACTAGGACGCCCAGCCCCATGCGTAGCATGCCATTTGTGATGGGATCCGGAACCCACCACTGCTTCAAACCCAAAAGACTACCATATAATAAAGTACGGGCCCATTTTCATATCACATTTTTCAGGAATGTCTATCTCTAGTCACTCTGAAATGCACACAATTTCGCAGTTAAATCAATTTAAAATACATTTTATATTGAGTCCTGTCTTCAATATATCCTAAATCAAATATTTCCAATATATTGTGATTCTTGCTCTTTTGTCTGTCTTACTCACCTCTTCCTACTGAAACCTAAAATGGCATCTCTGCCACCATCTATGTTTGATGGTTCAGATATTTGACAAATGTTGCCTTCCTCGTTACTTTCAATTCCTAGCTACGTTTACTGCATACATATCTCCCTTTTTCTGTTTTAAATATATGGCTGTTTTTGAATGCTGTCCCTCAAAAGTTTCTGACTTCAGATCTTCCCTTGTCCTTGATCACGCATTCTGTTTACTCTCCTTCCTATTAATTGGCCAGCTTGACAGAACACAGATATTTAATATTAGCCGAGATTCAAGCTTCTAGTTTTGATAGGGGTTTGGTAGCCAAGGAGACTGCATTCTGACTGGATGCATATGTTAGCTGCAATATTGTAGAGACGAGAGGCCCCAAATAGTTACTTGTAAAACAACTCCCACCCTACTTCACGATTGCCGAGAAGATACTGAAATGAAGCAAATAAATAGAAGATGTGAACCATGGCAGATCTCACTAACATGGATGCTTTTAAAGATAAACCTAATCACCACAATTCAGTATGGGAAAGGCACAGCTTCTCCCTGATTAAATTTAGCCTATTTTTCTAATGCTTCAACAAAGTTTGATTTTCTCTGCCAAGTTATTCTTCTCCTCATTTCCAATTTTAGTATCCCTCTTTCTTTTCCCTTCTTGGTAGAGCTTCACTTCTTGAGACATGTCGTTTTAAAAACTCTTCTAGAAAGAAAGGAAAATGCAAGTTTATGTACGTGGGTGCTTAGGTTTGAAAGTGCCTTCTGTGACAGAATAGTTGCTATATGCAGATAGGGATACACAGTTTTTGGGCTGATGTGCATATGCACACACATACAAGTATCTTTCGTTCCCCCACAAACACACAGACATAACAGGAGGAATATCCTGCATTAGTTTGATCTGGTGTTGGCATTCCCAAATTGACAAAGTTGGAAAACTGGGGAGCACATGCTAGCTGTATCTATACTTACAACACTTTTGACAACTGCCTTAAATTCAGAGTTTTCTTCCTCTTGAAGGGGTGTCTGTGCCACATGCAGCGTCGGAGCCACATGCAGCTCTTTGGACTCTCTGCTGTGGCTCCCTGTCGGGTGAGCCCACCACTGGCTGGCCCCTCCCCTCCCCCTCCCTCCTAGTCACTCCTTGCCTAGCCTGAGAAGGTAAGGGCAATGGTGGGGATGGAGAATTGGCTGGGGCTGATTCTCCGACACTTCACTCTTGCTGCAGCTTCTTCCGGCCCTTGTTGGTACTGGATGTGCTTTGGTCACTTGGGGAGACACAAAACCTGCTGTCTGTCCCAAGATACTGGCCCGACCCAGCTGCGACCAGTGCTGGCTTCACTAACAAGAGGGCTGGCGGGGTGGGAATGGGATCTGAGAGGAAGACACGATGAAAAGGGGGATGGGCCCGCATTGCCCTGCCGCAGGGGGAATTTCACCGCCTCAAGGACGCTTTTCAATGAAAGCTGGCAGTGGCACCAGTGCTGGAGGAGTAAAGTAGCTCAGGGCAGCAGGAAAAGGGAGATGGCCCCACTGAACCTTGCACGCTTACCCTGGGGGTCAGGCTCTGAGAAAGCCGGAGCACCCTCACCAATGACGATCACACTTCGCCAATGACAATCACACATCGCCAATGACGATCACACATCAGGGTCTCCTCCTCTCTGTATCTCTCTCTCTGTGCTTCTCTCTCTGTGTGTGTGTGTGTATGTTTCTTCTCTCTCTCTCTCTCTCTCTCTCTCTCTCTCTCTCTCTCTCTCTCTCTCTCTCTCTCTCTCT